CTCAGGGCACTTCCTTGGGCAGGGGGTGCTGAGGGGGAGGGCAGGGGGGCGGCGGGCTCTGCCCCGCGCCTTACTCTTTCCCCTTTCCTTCTTGCCCTGAGAGAGCGAAAGGCGGCGGTAGCCCCTTTCTCGGGGCCCGGGCGGGGGCTGCAGCCGCGGGCCCCTTTCCCGAGGGGTCCGGGCTGCCCGACGGCCGCTCGGTCACCGCGCCGGCGGGGCACGGCGCCCGGCGTGTCCGTCCTGGCTGGTGTCGGCAGATGGGTTTGGGAAGGGTGGATGAGAGAGGGTCCTTTGCAGCCCAAGGGAGAAAGCCCAAGGTTTCCCGCTGTGCCCTTATGGACCTCTGGGGAACGTGAATCAGAGACCCACCTAGGACGGGAAAGTACAGGAATACGTTTCGGTAGCACGGAGGCCCGATTTTAATCTGCTTACAAAGCAGGGACCCTTCCGTAACTAGCTCTGCCTGCTCCTTTTATGCTTGAAGTATGAGACACAAATCATAAGAAAGTCCGTAACGACTTGGAAAGACCGTGACAAGGGTGTAGTTGGACTCTTTAGATCAACGGATGGATTAAAAAAAAAAAAACCAAACCAAAAATTTTTCACTGACATGGGTTATCGTTATCAAATTTAACCGGCTGTTAATAAGGAAGCCTTTCTGTCCGTCTCTGACTCTTTTTCACCATCCCTGTAACAAAAACGGCACTTGGCAGGAGATCGTCGAGAGATGCTTTTAACAAACACCTTTGAGCTGACTCAGGGGAGGGGCTGAGCACGAATTTGTTAAATTTGTTAGAGAGTATGTGGCAGCTGATTTATCGGGATTTAAAAGCTGAGGTCAAGTAGTTATGCTTGTTCATTCTGTTGAAGTATCTGGGGGGGAAGGGTTGGTAAGGTAAATAGGTCTATATTGCACAATTCTGTTGGAGTGGAGCAGTTTTGGGAAAAAAAAAATAAATCTGGTACTTTGAGAGGCTGTAATTGTCTGAGACAGCCATTGCGGAACACTTCTTAACAGGGGCATAGATTCAAATTGCCTTAAAATGAGTTCTTTCTCTCATTTCCCCCCCTCCCCCATTGTCCCAAATGAAGGACTCTCATGAGAGTGTGGGTTGGGGGTAGGTCTGAAAACGTCAAATGATTGGCACCAATTGTAAGATGACTTTCTAACCACGTCAGTTTTTTATCTTGCGAGAAGTAAACTTTCTCATGTCTGTTTTTCTGCGAACTAACTTCGCCACTTGCAGCAATTTAAACTCTTTGGAGAGAGTTTTGCTCCTGCAGTCGTCTTTCTTCTCATCGGTTGCTTTCTATTTATACTTTTTGGGAGCTGTGCTTAAGTGCCAGCTGATGGACTTTTGTAATGTTTCGTTCTTGATCAGTTAACTTTAACATCACAACTAGATTAAGGTATTTTGTTTCGCTTTCTCTGTTAAATGTTGAGTGTTGGCAAGTAGTGGTTGTGTTATATTTTGTGAAATGAATGTGTTGATTATAACTGTTCAAGAGTCAAGTCTTTGCTATAATTATGCAGGTCTTTTTGTTTATCTATCCATATAAAATACATAGTCAGTATGCACTGTTGAAAGTAAAATGTGAGTCGGGTCTGAAACATGTATGTAAAGAGTGCTTCCAGAAGACATATGGCTACTCAGTTTGTTATTGCGAATGTGTCTTTAACTCTTTTGCCCCCAGCATCATGGTTGCTTTCTCTGAGCATAGTAACTACATTGAACATGGCTGTATGAGTTTTCAGTAGGTAGATTCATGCAGTTTCTACAGATTAGGGTTGGTCCGTTGTTTTGGGGGGTGATGTATCTTAAAATATATCATTATGAGGCGAAGGTTGAGGTTTTGTTTCAAATTTGGATTTTTGTATTCAAAATACCTCTAGTCTTTAGTTTCTAAATTAGTCAAACATCTGGGCAAACATGTAGGTATATTCCTTAGAGGATTGTAGTTCAATGCTTAGATCACGGGGTTTTCTTGTTTATGTTAGCAAAGGAGATAGATCCCTTCAGTAGTTTGATTGCTTGGAATGGAAGGGGAACAGCCAACAGAGATCATGCCAAGCAAGAGCACCAAAACCTCTACAGCAGCCCATCGGAAAGGCAGAGAGCCCTTAGAGGAGTCCACCAGTGACATGGAAGTGGAAAATGAGGGCAACAGACAGCTTGGCGAAGTACCTCCACAAGGTAGGTCTGAATATTGTGGTTCTGATGGTGTGTAAACTTGATGATAGTACCTGTTTAGCAACAACATTCAGTTGAATTTACCAGCTGTTCCAGATAGGATTTGCTCTTTTCTCTTCTAGAAAGGAATATTGAAAGCCTTGACTCCTGGCAAGTTTAAACTGCTTTTAAAATGGTAAAGAGGGCTTGCAAAGAGTTAAAGTGTTTGGACCAGTGATTTAGTACAAGTGCAAAAGCAATTTATAGACTTTCTCCTAATAAAGCCTATTTCGTATTCCTGATCTGTAACATTGTGCTTAAGATTGTGGTACAACAGCAGGATTTTTCAAATTTATATGCAGCCAATGGTATGGGATTTCTTGGAATGGAATAAATGTCAAGTTTATTTACTTAACTCTTAAAATGATTTGACTTTCTTTTTCATGAAGCAGTGTATTTTCTTGAGTTTCTTAAGTTGAGTTTTTGCTGAAAATGGCTGGAAAAACAGCAGTGTGTGTCTCTTTAGGTGGCCAGATATGCAATTGTTAAAGCAAGGTGTTTGACAAATGGACTAATATGTTTAAATTGGTGGCAAAAACTACTGTCTATTTGAAGAAAAAGTTGCTAGTAACTGTTGAAAAGCTGCTTTGCTTACAACTAGCTGATATCCAGGGGGCCAGTTTGTTTTCGTAACAAACTTCCTGTCTTTGCAGAGTAGTTGTGCTGTCATTACAGCTTTCAGAGCATTGTGCAGCGATCCCCAAATCTTGCAGAGTGACTTGTGAGCACGCTTGAAATGTGGCTTTGCACTTATTAATGAGAAAGACTTTGCCTGTTTCAGATTTGTAGGCTTATTGTGACAGTTGTAGCTATTGTAATTGCAGAGTGCCTATTAAAGTGTGTTAGAATAAGAATTACATAATGAAAGAACAAACCCACTAGTGAATCGATGGGACATCTTAAGTATCTCTTTTTAAAGATTCAGTTCATGGAAAGAAGACTTTTAATTCCGCTTAGCTTATTTTAATAATTACAGGCAAAAGTATAGGTTTGAATCATATAGAAATGATGTTTGCTTTTCCAGTTGAACATTTTAAAAGGTGTCTAGTCATTGAGAGATTATAGTCTTTTTTTTTTCTTTCTGTTTATTTTGGATGTTTTTTAGCAGTCTCAAATGAGGTGCTTGATAATCGAAGTTTAGAAGAGATTTTGGGTAGCATCTCTCCTCCCCCACCTCCAACAATGACCAATGAAGCTGGTGCTCCTCGTCTCATGATAACTCATATTGTAAACCAGAACTTCAAATCCTATGCAGGGGAGCAAACTTTGGGACCTTTTCATAAGGTATCTTTCTTTTACCTTAAGCATTTTTTAAATGAAGGTGAGACTTCGCTGTGTGTTAGTATTCCTTCCTGTATTTTCATGTAAGCTTACCTCAAAATAGCTGAAAAATATTTAAGCTTTAGAATTACTTATGTAGTGATATTCTAAATTTTCATTATTGGACAGTAGAGAAAGCAGTTAAGTGCAACTTTGTGATACTGTACAATTTTAATTTGTCAGTAAACCTTAAAAAAGCACACTTTTCTCTTTATTTCGTTTACTGGAGAACTTTTAGGGGTGTGTTTGAAGAATGAGAATATTTTTTAGTGCCCACAAGAGACTTACGTGGCTAATCATGAAACTTTCCTTGTGAACATGCTTGCTAAATGCAGTATCGCTTTGAGTTAACAAGTTAAAATTTAGAAAGCTGAGCTGAGGTGTGGTTTTTTTATTAAATAAGTTGTACTGCTTTACCTTTGGCAGTAAAAACTAAGCTATCAAATAGTCTGCAGTTGCATGCGCTAGGAATAATTGTGTTTTAAACTGTTCACAAATGAAATGGGTGATGTACACTGGCCAGGATCTATTTCCCTTTGAATATCACTTTTTTCCTTCTATTATGCAGCGTTTTTCATGTATTATTGGGCCAAATGGCAGTGGAAAATCCAATGTCATTGATTCAATGCTTTTTGTGTTTGGGTATCGAGCACAAAAAATTAGATCCAAAAAACTCTCTGTGCTGATCCATAATTCTGACGAACATACGGACATCCAGAGTTGTTCTGTGGAAGTCCACTTCCAAAAGATCATTGACAAGGTATGTATGCTTCTATTCAGAACAGTGGAGACTTTTTTTTCTTTAAGGATTTGAAAACTTTTAATATTTGGTTATTTTAGTTTGAGCTGGGGAAGACTTCATAGCATGATTAGTTTACATTCGGGGTGTAAAACATCAGTTCAAAGTTAATTAGCTTAAATTCCTCTATTGAGTAGTGCAGTTCTTAAAATATTAGTAGGGACTCTTTTTATTTTCTGCAGGATTAATATCTGGTGTATGTCTGCTTTAAAACTATTTAGAAATATGTAATAATCATTTTAAGAAGAAGTCGTTTTAGAGTTGTCATTTCGTTTACCTCAAGTAAATAAAACTTATTTCTGAAATTAATAGGACTCCTAAAAATTTAAAAGTCTGTTTGGACATGTTATATATTCTTAAATTTATAGTATGAGCACATATATATTAAGAAATAAAACCTATTTAAGCAAAACTTTTAAAACCAATTAGAAACTATTTTAGGTTATCTAAATTTAGAAAAATATATAATGAATCTGAAACTTTCTTATTTACACTTTATATACTGTAAACATGCCTGCAATTTTAAAACAGATTTTTTTCATCAAAAATTCTGGACCTCACATCCTACCACTAAATTTTTTTGAACCTGATATTTTGTTTGAAAGAAATAGAAAGTGTTGGCAAATTAAAAAAAAATATTTATTTTGCTTGCCACTTCATATATTGATAAAAACTTCTAGATATTTTTGTTGATTTATTGCAATTACAGTGCAAGGGATTTATTTCTCTTACTTCATTTAAATTTAATTTTTGTGCACACGTTCTAGCTGGAGTATCAACTGTTGAGTCTGGGATCAGTCAAAATAGTGGGAAATGTACACTGAAATTTCAAAAATCGTGTTAATAAAGTGGCAATATATTGAAGCCTTTGAAGGAACTGTTTTAAAAGACAATTTTTTTTTTCTTTGACTTGATATACATACACACATACCTTTTGCTTGTATTTATAATAACCAGATTTTAAAAATATTAAATTTATTCTTGTTTTTTTTCACTTGACTTTGTTTTAACCTCTAGGAGCTAACTTTATGATCTAAAACACTTCTGCATATACTAGATACCAATTTGATTATGCTCTTGGGGGATTGATCTGGGAAAGTGGTAGGCCAGTTTAAGTCTTTACAAGAAGCATGCATCAATTTTAACTTTTTAAAGTATAGTACCAGCTTTATTTTAGTTGCTGCTTTGTAGGTAAGTCTAAGATACCTTTTGAAGCCGATGATGTCCTATTTGTCACATCTTTGATGTTTTGCTTTTTTATCTTCTACAGTTTCTCTTTAGAACTACTCAGCTAAAAGTAACTCCTTTTCCTAGCACTATAAAAGAGGAGCTTAAAATGCAAACAGTAGTGTTTGAGGGGCATTAATTGTCTGAGACAGCCATTGCGGAACACTTCTTAACAGGGGCATAGATTCAAATTGCCTTAAAATGAGTTCTTTCTCTCATTTCCCCCCCTCCCCCATTGTCCCAAATGAAGGACTCTCATGAGAGTGTGGGTTGGGGGTAGGTCTGAAAACGTCAAATGATTGGCACCAATTGTAAGATGACTTTCTAACCACGTCAGTTTTTTATCTTGCGAGAAGTAAACTTTCTCATGTCTGTTTTTCTGCGAACTAACTTCGCCACTTGCAGCAATTTAAACTCTTTGGAGAGAGTTTTGCTCCTGCAGTCGTCTTTCTTCTCATCGGTTGCTTTCTATTTATACTTTTTGGGAGCTGTGCTTAAGTGCCAGCTGATGGACTTTTGTAATGTTTCGTTCTTGATCAGTTAACTTTAACATCACAACTAGATTAAGGTATTTTGTTTCGCTTTCTCTGTTAAATGTTGAGTGTTGGCAAGTAGTGGTTGTGTTATATTTTGTGAAATGAATGTGTTGATTATAACTGTTCAAGAGTCAAGTCTTTGCTATAATTATGCAGGTCTTTTTGTTTATCTATCCATATAAAATACATAGTCAGTATGCACTGTTGAAAGTAAAATGTGAGTCGGGTCTGAAACATGTATGTAAAGAGTGCTTCCAGAAGACATATGGCTACTCAGTTTGTTATTGCGAATGTGTCTTTAACTCTTTTGCCCCCAGCATCATGGTTGCTTTCTCTGAGCATAGTAACTACATTGAACATGGCTGTATGAGTTTTCAGTAGGTAGATTCATGCAGTTTCTACAGATTAGGGTTGGTCCGTTGTTTTGGGGGGTGATGTATCTTAAAATATATCATTATGAGGCGAAGGTTGAGGTTTTGTTTCAAATTTGGATTTTTGTATTCAAAATACCTCTAGTCTTTAGTTTCTAAATTAGTCAAACATCTGGGCAAACATGTAGGTATATTCCTTAGAGGATTGTAGTTCAATGCTTAGATCACGGGGTTTTCTTGTTTATGTTAGCAAAGGAGATAGATCCCTTCAGTAGTTTGATTGCTTGGAATGGAAGGGGAACAGCCAACAGAGATCATGCCAAGCAAGAGCACCAAAACCTCTACAGCAGCCCATCGGAAAGGCAGAGAGCCCTTAGAGGAGTCCACCAGTGACATGGAAGTGGAAAATGAGGGCAACAGACAGCTTGGCGAAGTACCTCCACAAGGTAGGTCTGAATATTGTGGTTCTGATGGTGTGTAAACTTGATGATAGTACCTGTTTAGCAACAACATTCAGTTGAATTTACCAGCTGTTCCAGATAGGATTTGCTCTTTTCTCTTCTAGAAAGGAATATTGAAAGCCTTGACTCCTGGCAAGTTTAAACTGCTTTTAAAATGGTAAAGAGGGCTTGCAAAGAGTTAAAGTGTTTGGACCAGTGATTTAGTACAAGTGCAAAAGCAATTTATAGACTTTCTCCTAATAAAGCCTATTTCGTATTCCTGATCTGTAACATTGTGCTTAAGATTGTGGTACAACAGCAGGATTTTTCAAATTTATATGCAGCCAATGGTATGGGATTTCTTGGAATGGAATAAATGTCAAGTTTATTTACTTAACTCTTAAAATGATTTGACTTTCTTTTTCATGAAGCAGTGTATTTTCTTGAGTTTCTTAAGTTGAGTTTTTGCTGAAAATGGCTGGAAAAACAGCAGTGTGTGTCTCTTTAGGTGGCCAGATATGCAATTGTTAAAGCAAGGTGTTTGACAAATGGACTAATATGTTTAAATTGGTGGCAAAAACTACTGTCTATTTGAAGAAAAAGTTGCTAGTAACTGTTGAAAAGCTGCTTTGCTTACAACTAGCTGATATCCAGGGGGCCAGTTTGTTTTCGTAACAAACTTCCTGTCTTTGCAGAGTAGTTGTGCTGTCATTACAGCTTTCAGAGCATTGTGCAGCGATCCCCAAATCTTGCAGAGTGACTTGTGAGCACGCTTGAAATGTGGCTTTGCACTTATTAATGAGAAAGACTTTGCCTGTTTCAGATTTGTAGGCTTATTGTGACAGTTGTAGCTATTGTAATTGCAGAGTGCCTATTAAAGTGTGTTAGAATAAGAATTACATAATGAAAGAACAAACCCACTAGTGAATCGATGGGACATCTTAAGTATCTCTTTTTAAAGATTCAGTTCATGGAAAGAAGACTTTTAATTCCGCTTAGCTTATTTTAATAATTACAGGCAAAAGTATAGGTTTGAATCATATAGAAATGATGTTTGCTTTTCCAGTTGAACATTTTAAAAGGTGTCTAGTCATTGAGAGATTATAGTCTTTTTTTTTTCTTTCTGTTTATTTTGGATGTTTTTTAGCAGTCTCAAATGAGGTGCTTGATAATCGAAGTTTAGAAGAGATTTTGGGTAGCATCTCTCCTCCCCCACCTCCAACAATGACCAATGAAGCTGGTGCTCCTCGTCTCATGATAACTCATATTGTAAACCAGAACTTCAAATCCTATGCAGGGGAGCAAACTTTGGGACCTTTTCATAAGGTATCTTTCTTTTACCTTAAGCATTTTTTAAATGAAGGTGAAACTTCGCTGTGTGTTAGTATTCCTTCCTGTATTTTCATGTAAGCTTACCTCAAAATAGCTGAAAAATATTTAAGCTTTAGAATTACTTATGTAGTGATATTCTAAATTTTCATTATTGGACAGTAGAGAAAGCAGTTAAGTGCAACTTTGTGATACTGTACAATTTTAATTTGTCAGTAAACCTTAAAAAAGCACACTTTTCTCTTTATTTCGTTTACTGGAGAACTTTTAGGGGTGTGTTTGAAGAATGAGAATATTTTTTAGTGCCCACAAGAGACTTACGTGGCTAATCATGAAACTTTCCTTGTGAACATGCTTGCTAAATGCAGTATCGCTTTGAGTTAACAAGTTAAAATTTAGAAAGCTGAGCTGAGGTGTGGTTTTTTTATTAAATAAGTTGTACTGCTTTACCTTTGGCAGTAAAAACTAAGCTATCAAATAGTCTGCAGTTGCATGCGCTAGGAATAATTGTGTTTTAAACTGTTCACAAATGAAATGGGTGATGTACACTGGCCAGGATCTATTTCCCTTTGAATATCACTTTTTTCCTTCTATTATGCAGCGTTTTTCATGTATTATTGGGCCAAATGGCAGTGGAAAATCCAATGTCATTGATTCAATGCTTTTTGTGTTTGGGTATCGAGCACAAAAAATTAGATCCAAAAAACTCTCTGTGCTGATCCATAATTCTGACGAACATACGGACATCCAGAGTTGTTCTGTGGAAGTCCACTTCCAAAAGATCATTGACAAGGTATGTATGCTTCTATTCAGAACAGTGGAGACTTTTTTTTCTTTAAGGATTTGAAAACTTTTAATATTTGGTTATTTTAGTTTGAGCTGGGGAAGACTTCATAGCATGATTAGTTTACATTCGGGGTGTAAAACATCAGTTCAAAGTTAATTAGCTTAAATTCCTCTATTGAGTAGTGCAGTTCTTAAAATATTAGTAGGGACTCTTTTTATTTTCTGCAGGAGTAATATCTGGTGTATGTCTGCTTTAAAACTATTTAGAAATATGTAATAATCATTTTAAGAAGAAGTCGTTTTAGAGTTGTCATTTCGTTTACCTCAAGTAAATAAAACTTATTTCTGAAATTAATAGGACTCCTAAAAATTTAAA